TACTACCAAGGACTGAAATGCTCCAGGAAAGCTCTTTTCATGCTGAGCTAATAAAAATGACCACAGCTGATCACAGTTAATATTCAAATGGATTTGTGTGCCTTTGAGAAGGTGATTAGCTACACCTGATTGAGTTTACAAGTCATTTTTATGAGGGTATATTTTGTATTATAAATGCCTTTTCTGTTTTTATATATATATATATATATATATATATATAATTTAATGCATTCTTGTTTAACAAAAGTTGTATTCTTTTAACCTTGTGTGAACCAAACTTTTGAAGGGTAGTGTCACACTTTCCATAAAAATCCCACAAAAAGTACAACTTTTTTCATCTTTCATAATAATGTTTCAGTAATTCATAAGAAATATTTCAGCAAAACAGCATATTAGAATGATCATCATGTGACAGTAAATACTTTAGTAATGTGATGAAAATTCAGCTTTGCCATCACAGGAATAAATTAAATGTCAAAATATATAAAAAATAAAAATAAAAATAAAAATTTAATTGTAATAATATTTCACAATATTTCTATTTTTTTTACTGTATATCTGATCCAATAAATGCAGCCTTGGTAAGTATAAGAGATTTCTTTAAAACATTTTTTAATCTTAATTATTCAAACACCAGACATGACTCTGTCTTTTCACAGCAATGCCTTTCATTCTCCTAAATAGGCTAAATCTGTGCACTGCAGAAAGATTTCTGATGTATAGACAGTTCCTCCAGTACTTTAAAATACAATTGTCTTATTTTATTGTATTTTAACATACAGAGAATAACTTCAAAATTGTAAATGTATAAATATCCACAATTTAACAATGAATAATGAGAAATAATTAATTTTAAAAATCCATAGATTGATAGTCAGATCAGTTTTGGCAATACTGTATTATTTACAATTATGGAGATAGATAGATAGATAGATAGATAGATAGTAAATAAGCGATATCATACTCAAATCTTTGAATCATTTACAACATTACATCATGAACAATAACTTCAAACTTGGTCAGTTCAGTTGTATAATCTCAAAACAAGTTTAAAATATATCATCAACACTAATGTACTTCAAAAGAATCCTTTTGAACTGCACACATGTAAGCACTTACTGTCATGTAGGTCCTTACAAAAAAATGCATAATAAACATATGTGTCCAATTGAGGCAGATAATTATTATCTGATAAGAAGGCATGCACATAAACTAAACTGGAAACACGTGTACCAAATAAATTCCTCCATGCACAACATAAAAACTCAAGTAACTTTGACTCCACAGATGGACCAGTGGACCAACATCAATGCATACCATCATGTTGTTTTAGTAAAACTGAAATGCGTGCGCAAAAGATTTAATATAATTATCTG